GTTATCCAATCTTTCTTTTTAGATACTTGTTTTTTGACATACGTTATACTTGATTTGTTAATACTTTTTACAAATAATTTCTATATCATATTCATTATAGAGAAAGTCCCAAGAATGTTCTTTCGCGAGCATAATTAATTTTTTTTTTTTTTTTTTTATTAATGTGTTTTATTGTTTTTTTTTTTTCTAATGATACTTCGAGAGAGTATATTACTGTCGACTGTGATTGCATAGTGATCTGATAATTTAATTTTAACAATGGATGGTAAAATGTCGTTAAAATAATTCTCTGCCTTTATTTTAGCAAAAATATGGTCAATGCAAGTAGCTGAGTTGGGGGTAACTCTTGTTGGTTTATTAATTTTCATATAATATATTCTTACACAGGTTTTTGGTATCACAATTTATTTCAACTCAACTTTAACAACAATTATATAACTGATAACATTAACATGTAACGTCTATCATCAAAACTGAAAACTGACGTCAGGATCATCCTTATATAGCTTGCTGTCGTCTAGAATATTCTTGACGGGTATGACATTTCGAGACATTTCTGGACTATTCTATCTTCTTTTACTTGTACTTTTACTAGCACACTGTAGGGCGATAAGTAACATTCAACTTCTTTTTCTATTTGTACGTTTCCTGTAATAGCCGCAGGCTACTGCAGGGAGCTGCGTAACAATATTAAGGTATTCATTGACTAATTCATCAGCTTCTTGCATTAAATCATTAAATAAAATTGTTAGTATTCATTTATGTTTGTTTTGTTAAGGAAAGATTCGAGAGGTTTATTAAAATCATTATTTTCGTGCTAGGTGATCGGTATACCGCCAAAATGCCTATTTTTGGTATTTCAAAAGTCAGTTCAATCATAACAGAGTAAACAGTTTCGATATTAATTATTTTATACTGAAAATATATACCGCTATTCCGTCATTTTGATAAATATGTTGATTGCTATGTATCATTTGATATCCTGACATATTAAATAGATTATTTTTAATTTCTCTTGTTTTAGTAAGCAATATGCAGTAAAATGTATTATTGAACTGAGCGAAGAATACTTGAAGTTCGTCGAAGTGTTTGTATATACTAGATATATTATTGTGAAACATACTAAAGGAAGAAGAGTCCATTCGTTTTTTAAATATACTACGACAACAATTTGCCGATTCTACTTCGAGAGTGTTTATATTTATAGGTGTATAATTTCTGATATATTGATCCATCTAATTTTTTTTTAATGTAATAATAATTATTATAAATTCAGTATAAAATTATTTTTATTTTTAAAAACACATGTAAGTAATAAAAAAGATAATTATTTAACCTAGTACCTATAAATTGTGGGTAGACTGCCCAAACAACTATAAAAATAATCTAACCAAATAAGTAATTTAAGAATTTTGACTTTTAGTTCTTTTGTTGGTGGTGGATGGCTTCAGATTATTATTGTTGGTTGATTGTGATTTTCTGCTGTTTTTCTCCATTATTTCATTCACTAACATTGTCTAGTTCTTCTGTTATAATCAGTTTATTATTTACGTACAGTTGATTGTTTCTTATGTATGCTTCTTGTTTATTTTCGCTAGTTTTTAATATTTATAGCATTTTTGAGCGAGATTGATAGCCTTCTTGAATGTAGTCTATAGAAATAAAAATGTATGAGGTTTTCAGAGAAGCTTGGTTTTCCAGAATATTTGTTGACAATTTGAATTGGACAAATTCAACCAGCATAGGTCTAGGATTAACGGTGTTCTCTTTTACTTCCCTATTCTGTAAATATCTCGAATATCATGGAATCTGCATTCAATATCCAAATTCGTTTTCATCAATTTAAGAAATTCGTTGACATCTTACAGATTGTCGTCGTTTTCTCTCAAATTGTATTTTTTTGACTTCCTTTCATTTTTCAATACTCTATTTTTAAACTCGTTTAGCTGTGTTTTCAAATAGATGTTCTCCGTTTCCAAATTTTCTATTTCTTTACATTAATAATATAATACTCAATAAGGTTTATTCTCAAAAAAATGTTATACATTTACATTTACCGTGGTTTCTTTTTTAGAATAAACGGAGCGGCCCATTTATGTCCTAATAGATGCGCCGTTTAAAATGAAAAATAAACACATCAACATTACAATATAGATATATAAAAACAATAAAACAAAACACTTTAAAATTGCAATAGATATGTTACAAAATCACAGTTTAATAATATTAAAGCAATAAATTACTTAAAGATAATATAGATTAGACAAGCATGATAATACTATAGAAAAATTAAACAATAATAAGGCTACAAAAAGTTATGAAACCTACGAACTACTTGCTTTTAATGAAACTCTTTGTTTTTTAAAGTTAGAAACATGAAAAATTAAATTACAGCTACTAAGCATAAATAAATAATGACGTGTTTCAGGGTGTTTGGATTTTCACATTTTAAGGGGGGAAACGGGGGGTGAAAGTTTGTAAGGGACTATCGATTTTTTTTGTTCTCTTTGAAGTTAGAAACATGAAAATTGGAATTGCAGCTACTGCGTACAAATTAATATTAATGTGTTTTAGGGTTTTTATGTTTTTACATCTTAAGGGGGGCAAACGAGAGGTGAAAGTTTGTATGGGAGTATATATTTTTTTGTTCTCTTTGAAGCTAGAAACATGAAAATGCAGCTAATGAGTACAAATTAATAATGACATGTTTTAGGATTTTCACATTTTAAGGGTGGGAAACGGGGGGTGAAAGTTTAATTGAAAATATAGGTTTTTAAAAGGTAGGAACTTGAAAATTGGAATTGTAGGTTGTCATCATAAATAAATAATGAAGTGTTTCAGGTTATTTGCATTTTAACATTTTAAAGGGGGAAATGGGGGGTGAAAATTTGTTTAATAGTATGTATATATTTTTTTGTTATTTAAAGTTTGAAACAAAAATTTGAATTACAGCTACTGATTTAAAATCAAAAACGATGTGTTTTATGGTTTTTGAATTTTCAAATTTTAAGGGGGGAAAACGGGAGTATAAATTTTTTGAACGTTGGAACTTGAAAATTATAATTGTAGCATAAATAAATAATGATGGTTTTTATGAATAAAAATTAATAAAAATTTTTAAAAATTAATAAAAAGTAATAAAAATTATTAAAAATTAATAAAAATTAGTAAAAATTAATAAAAATTAATAAAAATTAATAAAAATTAATAAAAATTAATAAAAATTAATAAAAAATAAAAATTAAAAAAATTAATAAAAATTATTAAAAATTATTAAAAATTAATAAAATATAATAAAAATAAAAATTAATAAAAGTTAATGAAAATTAATAAAAACTAATAAAAATTAATAAAAATTAATAAAAATTAATAAAAATTAATAAAAATTAATAAAAATTAATAAAAATTAATAAAAACTATTAAAAATTAATAAAAATTAATAAAAACTATTAAAAATAAATAAAAATAAATAAAAATAAAAAAAAGAATAAAAATAAATAATAATGAATAAAAATTATTGAAAATGAATGAAAATGAATAAAAGTGAATACAAATGAATAAAAATAAATAAAAATGAATAAAAATGAATAAAAATGAATAAAAATGAATAAAAATGAATAAAAATAATTAAAAATGAGTAAAAATAAAAAAATGAATAAAAATGAATGAAAATCAATAAAACTAATAAAAATTAATAAAAAAGGAAGTATTTTTTTATATTAATAACACGACTACATGCGAGCAAAGCCGCGGGCCAACACCTAGTTTAATATATTTTTCGATAAACAGTTATTTATATCATGTTAATCGGAAAAAAACAGAAATGTATAAAAGAAGATTCAGGCAAAGGATGGATTACCGCTCTAATAAAAAAATCCTCTAAAACGAAAAGAGTTCTATATCAAAAACAAAAATTCACACCCCACAAAAATTATCTCATCACTAAAATGTTTGCAAAAGTTTGAAGTTGTTTTTTTTTTTGAACTGTTGGATCGATTTGAATGTTCTTTTTTTTTAACAAGAGGTTGATTGTTCAGGAATATTAATCTCTATGATTCTTAAAATAAAATTCAATTTTTGAGTGAATACCAGGTGTTGCCATAATATAGATTTTTATTGGAAAATGTGTAACATCCCGTGAAGTGTACCAGCAATAACAACATATTACAATGGCTTTAGTCTTATCTTTTCGCACAATTTTATTTTCTGATTCGTTCTATTATCTCTGTTATTAGAGGAGATATGCAACATAGAACAACACTATAAAAATAATTTATATATTGAATCTTTAACAAAACAAAATTCATTTTACAAGCCTAATTTGAGATACACTAATTTTCAATACTAACAAACTGTCAAATTGAAATTTTTTATTTGTCATTGCCTGCCTTTCAGTTTTTTATTATTTGCATGTAAACCTTTGTAGACTACAAATATGGAAGTCTGTAAAAACAGGTTGTGTTAAAAAACTGTATATCTCCTCTAATAAAAAAGATAATAAAACAATCAAAAAATTAAATTTTGCGAAAAGATGAAGCTAAAGTAGGCTATTAATTATAACATGCTATTGTTGCTCGTACACTCCACAGGGTGTTACGAATTTTCAACCAAAAACCTATATTAATGTAACAACAAAAAAAAAAGAACATCCAAATCGAATAAACGGTTAGGAAAAAAAATAACTCCAAATTTTTGCAATCATTTTAGTGATGTGATAATTTTTGTGTGGGAAAGTGTAATCTACAGTTTAGGGACACATATAATATACAGAAAAATCTATATAAAAAATCAGTAAAGAATATTAAATACATATAGTTTTCAAAATAAATTAAAAAGCTTTCAAAATAAATATTAATAAAACTGATTATAATAAAAATATTTATAATAAGCCCGAAGAGTGTGAAAATGCGAAAAATACTATTTCCAAATATAGCGATTGACAGACTTTGAATCAAGTTAGATAATATTTGGAAATTTAAAAACTATATCTGTATCCTCACCTAAATACTCCAGAGATTGGTTTCCTAAAGCTAGGTGCCCTATACCCTGGTCGCTGACGTGCCAGCAACTCCTCAAATTCAGTCTCTTCAACTTCTTCAGTCCCCAGGCGATCAACACCAGCCCGGTATTCGTGACGTTGCAACACCCGCCCAACTCCAACACCTCCAAGTTCTTCAGGTACTGAGCTATCCTGCTGAGAGAGTTGTCGGTGACCTGTTTGCACAGCGACAGGTTGAGTTGGGTGAGCGATGGACAGTCTGAGACGAATGCCGTCGAGATGCCCACGTCTGCCACGTTGTAACATCCGCTAAGGTTGAGGGATTCCAGATTAGGGATGCCTGTAACAAAAGAAACGGTGGTTAAAATGATGCCAAATTATATTAATAATAAATTCCGGACCGTAACGAACGAGTAAATTATTTACGTAAACGATGAAAAGTAATGGACCGAGGACTGAACTTTGAGGAATACCATTTTAAATTAAGAGCAAACCGGACCTCTCACGAAAACAGAAATGTTGCGAGGATTTTCTAATATAAAATTGTAATTTATATGCGCGCCAATGGGAATACTTGTGTTATTTTTTGTTTCCTACAGTTTCAAAAACAGAAAACTGCATAAACATCATCAAAAGAGATCTCACGGTACCTCTTTTATAGGAAAGAAAACCATCCAATTTAAGCTATTAAGAAATCGGTTCTTATGGACATGATATAAAGTACCTAACTTTAAACAGATCGTAGATTGCGGTTGCCAGCCAAGAAAGATCACTATACCAGAAGATAATATGACAATTTTGTTTTATTTGAACAAAGATAATTTCCTGATCGTAGTACAATTTTATATGAATAATTGTTTAATTTTGTAGGTTGTCCCTAATGAATTTAAAGTTATAGAAATATACCCTATCTATAAATGCAATAGATTTCTACTTTTTTGGTAGATTTCAGCTTTTTTGACTACTGTTAATAGAATATCATTTTCGAAAATTTTAGTAGATCTCTATAAATAAAAAATCCAATCCTACTACGACAGTTTGGATGGATGGATGGATAGATCGATGGATGTTTGTTGCTCAATCACGCCAGAACGGCCGAACGGATTTGGATAAAATTTGGCAGATATAGATTATAGTCTGGAATAGCACATAGGCTACTTTTTATCCCGGAAAAATGTACGGTTCCCGTGGGATAGATTTGTTTTTATTTTTCACAGAGCAATGAAACATACATGATTTTTTGCATAGTGATAGTGAAACATGAAAATTTGAAATACGAGTACGGCTACTGACCATAAATAAATAATGACGTGTTTCAGGGTTTTTGGATTTCACATTTTAAGGGGAGGAAACGGTGGTGAAAAATTTATATAGAAGTATTAATTTTTTAAAGGTAGGAACTTGAAAATTGGAATTATAGCTACTCATCACAAATAAATATAGACATGTTTCAGGGTTTTTGGATTTTCATATTTTAAGCGGGAAAAGTTTGTATAGGAGTATCCGATTTGTTTTAATGGTAAGAACTTGAAAATTGGAGTTGTAGCTACTCATCATAAATAAATATACATGTTTTAGGGTCTTTGGATTTTTACATATTGGGAAACAGGAGATGTAAGTTTGTATCAGACTTTCGGTTTTTTAACGGTAGGAACTTGAAAATTGGAATTGTAGCTACTCATCATGAGTAAATAATTACGTATTTCAAAGTTTTTGGATTTTCACATTTTAAGGAGATGGAGGAATGGGGAAAAATGAATATAAATTAAAAATAAATAAAAATAAATTAAAAATACAAAAATAAATTAATAAAAATCAATAAAAATTAATAAAAAATAATAAATATTAATAAAAGTAATTTAATTGATAGAATTTGAAAAGTACATTTGCCTAACAATTTAATAGCAAATTAATAGTGATGGGACTTTTCATGAAAAGTAATTTTTGGACTAGTCCAATAAAAAGTCACAATGAAAAGTAGTCGACCATAAACATAGAAGACACACAGTTAAATCTTCAGGACGTTTTTTTAAAGAACACTTTGAGAAAAATATTTCTCATTTGTATTTTCGTATTTTTAGGCGTCATTTGTAAAAACTTTCAACCTTTGAGTTTTGTTGGTCATTTTTTTATGAGTTTATTTTAATTTAAGATATAAAACAAAAATTCGATAACATCGTTAAAACATTAAAGTTTTCTTCTTCTTCTTCGTTTTCTTCTTCCTTTTTCTTAGGTTTATATGGGCTCAATCCTTCAGGATTATTTACCCAGGTTATGTTTTTTTGTAGAATGAAATTTCACGAAAAAGCTGACCATATATTCTTTACTTTTCCACTACACTTGATATTTAATTTTACTAAAATATGTACTTGAAACTTCGGCAAAGGATGCACCAATGTATTTAGTAATAATTTAAAAGTAGGATGGTCACTTTAAAACTTGATATTTTATGAAAACCCGATTCTGAGACCACCATTTCGATGTTGACACGTCGGTGTCAAAATAAAAGTAAGTATGTCAGTAATCATTTGTCTTTTATATTTTGTCTGTTTGTAAGAAATTCAGACAAATTAGTTAATTTAATTTCGCGCAAGCGCAATACACTTTGCCATTTTTGAAAAGTGTGTTTGGACTAGTGAACTTTTCAGACTTGTCCGTGGACTTCTCCAATATCGGACTTTTCCAATATCTAAAACAAAAATATAAAAGATTCAAAAATAGAACTAACAATTTATTCATATAAAAAATGAATTTAAGACTTTTATAATACACTCTGTATATATTTCACATTTAATACTTACATAAAAAAATGTTAAAAGGGAACAATTTAATTTACAACTTAAATAAAAAGAATGAAAATTAAATATCTGGAATAAGAAAAACTTCATATAACTCCCAGATACACTATGGTAACCCAAAATACACTAAATTTATTTAGAAATAATTTTTAGGAAACTATCAACAATTTGCACTCTGGTGATAAAATTAGATGAGAACCGTACCAGAAATGTGATATACAAATAGATTCTTAACTAAATTAATATACTAAAATATTAGAATAATTTACTCTAATCTTTAAGACTATAAGACTATCACATTTTTTTATATTAACGTGTGCAAAGTCGCGTGCAACATTAGTTACAGCAAGTTAGTTAATAGTTGTAGTTTGAAAACGGTATGATATTGATAATGATAACTATACTTAATACACACCCAAATAAAAAAAAGCGATATTGGACTTTGTACAAAGTTTTAAAACGATTTAACAAATGCTAAAATTATTGGAAAAAACTGAACACCCATTTTAAATTATCCCCAGCCGCCACTATATTTAAATGATTTAATAACGTTAAGTAAAAAAGTAATTAATTTTGTAGATATTTTTGCGAATAGGAACCTCTTCATAATTTTAATGGTTACTACATTATTTATTTCAAATGCTTACATCTTTTTTTGAATTCTTTTGGCAAAAGATGGAACTATATAACAATTTTTCAGTATTTTCAATACAATTAAAAGTATTACATTCATCACATCATAACCCGTATTTTTTTTAATTAAAATACCTATCTGCTATGACCATGAGTGTCTATTTATTACTACAAATATTATTATTAATAATAATATAAAAGAATACATTGTATTATTCCAGCGATTTTTCTATATGAATACTAATTAAAAATATTTAAAGAAATTACGTCATTTTGAAGCCGTGTAACATCCTTTCTCGTTGAAAAAACATACACACATACACTTGAGTATGTGGTTACGGAAATTCCATGTAAATTCTGTTTGTTGCTGGTTTTATTCAAGCCAACCAACGGTTCAACGTTGATTGACAATAGCACGATTCCAAGAAAATGTAAACTTCGCCGCGCCATCTGGAAACATTTTGTTTCATGAAAATCTAAATAAAATACCTACAGATTGTAATTGTACGGGGTTGGTCTAAATTTTACACTTTTACGGGATCTTACTGGGTGCGTAATACAGATGAAGCATCATCAGAATTTTTTGGTTTAACAGGACAAAATCTCACTATTGTCTACAATTTTTATTTTTAAATATTACTTAAAATTCTTCAGAAAGTGCTAGAGGGTAGAACTCTTCGGAAGTCCATTGTGACAGGCTCCTGGTTCACCTACAGTGAATCAGCGAGTCTGTGTGGCGCTATGAAGGTGATTCCCAAATAGGAGTTGCTCAGGCGCCAGTTTTGATATCGCAGTTTGCTCTGCGACCCTGTGGTACACCAGAGTGTACTCAAGGTGAACTCAGTGGAGGTAAAAATAATTCCAGGCGGTCACTGCTAGGTAATCACTATACTAGAATTAATCAAAAAAAATAAAACACTTATCTCCTTTACACCTCGTACCCTACGGTACCCTGAAAGAGAACGGTTAAGAACCAGTAATAAGAGAAACACAGGAATAGGTACTAAAATATATATTTACAAAAATTAATAATACAACGGCAATTAAATATGAACGGCTCCCTATATGCGAAAACTTATTAAAAATAAATTGTTACCAATGAAAACTAATTAAATATTAACGGCTCCCTATATGCGGAAAATGGATAAAAAAAATAAATTATTATTATCAATGAAAACTAATTAAATATTAACGGCTCCCTATATGCGGAAAATTGATTAAAAATAAATTATTATCAATGAAAACTAATTAAATATTAACGGTTGAAAGTTTCTCTCATGCAGACATCTGGTAGTCCATAGCTTCCACAAGAGAGAAACCCTTTCCCACGAGCTGTTAAAAAAAAACAAAAAAAAAACTAGGGGCTGAAACAGCTCTGACCATCGACAGGGGGAAGCAAGCGAATACCGCTATCACCCCCTGATTAACGCGAAAATGGATTATTAAAAACAAATTAATACACTCGAAAACAATTGAAATATGACTGTAATTAAATGCAAGCAAATAAATGAAATCAAAGTTTTCGGAACGTCCCTGTATCTTAGACGAGGCGATCGGCGGCGCTCTGGTAATTATTGAATGAGAATAGGTTTCAGCGCGGTGTTTGGGAGAAAAATACAATGTTTAACGTAAAAATTATTTTGAGATTTGACGGTGTGTGAATTGATTTTACAGAAATCGTCGGCTTCGTTCAATAATTAGTTGTGGACGGAGAACGGAATGATTCAAATACAATTGAATGAGTAAATAAAAGAAAAGAGAAATTTACATGAAAAATACTGGGTGCTTCTTATAAAAAAAATTGCCAACGGTTTCCACTAAGGAATGAAATAAAAAATGCTGGGCATGAATCAAAATTCTTGATTTGTAACACGGGTGTCCCAATTAATTATATGAAAGCCAATATAAA